GGCGAGTTCGAAGATTCAGTCCGTCGTTTCAATGAGTGCATGCCTGTGCTTGGGAGCTTGGAGACTCGTCCATAGCCTTGTGGATCACCCTAAAACCTCTCCCTCCCCGTCCTCAATCTCGATCCCCTGATGCTGAAGCATTGCCCCAGGCGCCGCTGTTTTTCTCCCGGCCGCCCAGCTGGTGTCAGCGGGTTGGGGCTGGCCTCCCTGCATTCGCGGGGGTTTCGCAAAAATGGGCGGCGCCTTTTGTGGAGGGAACCCCCATGGGTGTATCGTGTGAGGGTATGTAAGGGGTATCCCTAGCTTTAGGTCTCGAGTTGAGGGCCTCTTTTGGCCGTCTAGACGAGGGGCTCCTTTTTTCTTTCCCCTCTCAAATTCTTTTTTATAGTTGTCTTTGGAGCCTTATTGCTTTTTTTAAATGGGTGCTTTGGACTTGAGCTCTGAATCACAAGTGGTGTGTAAACAGCTGGACAAATCCCACACATCCCCAGCAACCCCTATCGAGCACCCCTGGCCTGAACCTGCAGAGTCCGAGATTTGGGAGGTTCCCCCTTCTACTAACAGTCTTTAGTAGGGATGAGAATGGGGTACTATAATCCCTAGTTTAATAGGGATGATAATAGGGGGTACTATGATCCCTATTAAGGACTCTTAGAATAAGGGGGAACATCCCGTTGTAATATCTTACAAAGAGGGGGCCACGCCCGAAGCCCGAGGAGCTTTGGCTTCATCTTCTTGGCTTGGCTGGCCACCTGTGCTGGCAAGACGGCTTGGGCACCTGGGCTGGGATCCATGGGTAGGGTTTAGGGGTTTAGGGGTTTAGGGGTTTAGGGGTTTAGGGGTTTAGGGGTTTAGGGGTTTAGGGGTTTAGGGGTTTAGGGGTTTAGGGGTTTAGGGGTTTAGGGGTTTAGGGGTTTAGGGGTTTAGGGGTTTAGGGGGTTAGGGGGTTAGGGGGTTAGGGGGTTAGGGGGTTTAAGGGTTTAAGGGGGTTTAGGGGTTTAGGGTTTAGGGGTTTACCTATGGGGAAACGCCTCTCTTGCAGTGCTGCACCTTGTGCCCTGGCCTCTGAGACAACCGCAGCAATCAAAAGGGCCTTCTTCAAACAGCACTCTCAGACAAGCAACGCCCGAACCCCCCTTATACTAACTGTCCTTCATAATTCGGGATTATAGTACCCCCCCCCCTATTATCATTCTTATTAAAGACTGTTAGTATAAGGGGGACATACCCCCTATTATCATCCCTATGAAAGACTGTTAGTATAAGGCGGACAGCTGTGTGCTTGGCCTCCTGAGTTGCCTCCCTGTAGGCAGGCTGGATCCTGATGGTTGTCAGCTATAGTGCCCACATCTTCGTCCCGTTTAGCGGCTCGGACCTGAACGTGGTGGTGGGAACATCGTGTCCCTGTGAAGCTGCCGGTGGTGGGTCGAGTTCGAAGTGTGGCTGAGTTTCACAGCTGCTTCGAGCAAGTTCAAAAGCTCAGACAGACTGCGCCAGACTGGTCTAGGCACGCCCACGCTGCGCAGTTGGACAGTTGTTGTATCGCACCATGGCTGAGGCAAGGGGGGCCATCCCCTGAATTCGGACCTCTTCGTGTTAGGCATGCTGACCTACCAGTGGCCCGTGAAGTTCAAGTCAGAGCTGGACCGGCCCTCAGCGTTTGACAGCCAAAGGTGGGGCTAGAAGCTGCTAGAAGCAGGCATGCAGATGATATTATGAAGCAGTCTGCTGCTGCGCAAGTGGCACCCTGTCCCCCTAAAGCCTTAGAATCCGCTCACCCCAACCAGGCCCCCCCCAAACCCTACACCTCGGGATGGCTCAACAGCCCTGAATAGGGATTGCAAAAGGGGGTACGAGAATCCCTATGAAGGACTGTTAGTATAAGGGGGAACATCCCAACTTGCACCCACCAAGCCCTGAAACCATTGCCCCAAACCCTGAAAACCCCGGATTCCGATTCCCCTAAACCCTAAACCCTAAACCCTAGATCCTAAATCCTAAACCCTAAACCCTAAACCCTAAACCCTAAACCCCAATTCCTAAACCCTAAACCCTGAACCCCAAACCCTAAAACCTAAACCCTAAACCCTGCACCCTAAACCCTAAACCCTAAACCCTAAACCCTAAACCCCAAACCCCAATTCCTAAACCCTAAGCCCTAAACCCCAAACCCTAAACCCTGAAAGCTCGACTGAGGCCTGGCTCATGCGCCAGTATTGGCCGCTGGTGTTCGGGGCCGCAAGCTGAGATGCTGGGGGGGGGGGATGCGGTGCCCTGAACCCCAAAAACGCCCAAACCCCAAGCCCTACGCCCTAAACCCTAAACCCTAAACCCTAAACCCTAAACCCTAAACCCTAAACCCTAAACCCTAAACCCTAAACCCTAAACCCTAAACCCTAAACCCCCTCAGCTCTTCTTTCGAGACCGGTCAACTCAGGTCCTTCTGATCCTCAGCACTCCGGAGGTGACGGGGCGATGCCGCACGGCTGCCCTGTTTTTTTTTTTTTGGGGGGGGGGTGCTTCAGAGTCAGGGCATCTTGAAGCCATAAGCCTTGGGATGTTCTTAATGGGGATTATAGTACCCCCCCCCCCCCCCCGCATGAAAGTGCTTATTAGGGACTGTTCGCAGAAGGGGGAACATCCCAACCTAAGCCCCAAAGCAGGCCGTATAGGCCCTGCTTTTGAGGTCTGCGCAGAAGTCAGCCCCGGGGGACCACATGTACCAGCGCGTTTCTTACCACTTCTTAGTAGGGAATTCGGTGCCTGCGGCAAGTCTCGTATTTTCCTCTGAGGTGATGACATGGGTTGCCACATGCCTAAGTTCCCACAGAGAACCAGTGAGTTCAAGCGGTGCCGGTGTGTCATCCTCAGGTGATCTCCATCCCCTGAACACCGGGTGGGAGCGCTTTCGCTTCCGTGCGATCGAGTTCGTGCTCGGCCAAGAGTGTTATGAAAAGTCCGTTTGGGAGAAGCCGCATGACGGGGTAGAAGTGCACCTCCGCCTCCGGCTTGCTGCATCCGAAAGTAGGGGTACCCTTTTCAGGGGTCCCTTCAAGGGGATTCAATTCTCTTTGGGTAATAAAAGGGTACCGCTATTTTCGGAAACCCCCTTTTGTGCGCAAGTAAGGTGCTGATTTCTGCACTGATCACCGATGCGCTGAATACCTCGGATAGCTTCGGCCTGACACGGTGGCTCAATGTGTGGGCCTTGCGCCTGGGAAGGAGCTATGCCGTTGTTCTGCAGTTGCTCTTATTGAAACAGGCACAGCTGCAAAACACCCAAAAACATACTCACCGTAGCTGCCCGGTGATACGGTTGCTATCTTCTTGGGTGGTACTGTTATCTTGCTCTCACTAGTACCGAAGCTGGAATCGCGCGATTGGCGCTTCATTCCCTCAAGCGCTCTCTCGCGAAGCGTGTTGGCGTGGTGCGCATCATTTTCTCGAAATGAGGCCATATGAGGCCCATCGCTCCACGGTGCCTTGTTGTTTACATGACGGCGCCTGTACCTACGCTGTCTACATCGAAAAGGTTAGCCTCGACTCGCGCTCCCGTGTACGCGCAGTGATCTCAACCACTGCTTAGGATCTACACCAGTAGAATTTGACAAGTCCTTCATGCTAAAGTGCACTGGGACATTTGCAGTACACATGCACTGTCACTCAAGCATGCTTGGCAGAAGATGATTGCGCCTAGATGGGTTTGACTTTGCTGAGCGATAGCCCGCACCAGGGAACGCCCCTCAGCCCCCCAAAATAATTTACGCGCAGACTTGTATATTCATGCATTCCAACAATAGAAGCATACAAGTGAGCAAATACATTCATATGTACAATGTATACCTAAATGAGCAATGTGATGCACGTAGACATAGACCAATCAAAATAAGTCTAGATCTGAAAGATACGATATATGTATATATATATATATATGTATATGTATATATATATATATATATATTATGATATAAATATATACACAATCGTGCACTGATGGGCGCGGTCGAAAGGATGTAGGCCTTGACATGGGCGGCCTGAAAGGGTCAGAAGCCTCTGAGGTATGCCTACTGCTTTCATGTGGCCTGGGCTCGGATGCTGCCATTGCCCTATGGGGCTGTGGTGACCTATGCCAGCATGCCTTTCTTCTACTTGCTCAACCGATACGCGAAGTGACCCGATTGAAGTGGGCATTGCAGAGATTTCAAGAGCTTGTGGTCGACGGTAGGGCCGGTAGGGTCCCGTACCCCAGGGTCCACCAGATCGGTTCAGGCAGTTGCATCGCTCTCTCGTTTTCAGAGCTGATGCTTGTTGGGATGATCTGGGGAAGTATGGTGCCGGCCGAGGCATCGCAAGAAGACTTGAAGATGGTCACGGATTTGGCCGCTGAGGGCGATTTTAAACCATGCCTCGGGGCATAGAAAACGAAGCCCCCACGCCTTGTGAGTGGTTACCGCATGCTGAACTCCTAGAGTCCTAGAGCAGCGCCAACAGTTTCATCATCATCCGGGTCGGGTAAGAGAGGCGCTTTTGGATTGCTACATGGCGTGGGGTATCTGAAGGCAAGCCATCAAGCAAAGCCTTTGTTAGTGAAGTGAGGGAGAGGAGATGCGAAGGACGGCAGCGGAGGTCTGTGAAGCCAATCGTGGAACAGATGCCTCTCCTCCAACTTCATGGGATTCCACTTAAATGTCCAAAGCCTGACAGCTTTTGAATGCGCTGATCGCCGGAGATGGGCTACCGGCTACAGTTGCGGCAAGAATCGAGCATGAGCATGGTCCAAATACCAAACTTCTCAACGCCTCGAAGATCCACCTTCTTCATGTTTTTGCTTGCCTTTTGCCATGTTTAGTCCATCTTCGGAAGTCGCACTGCCTGTGGCGGTTCAGATGCGGAAGCCATCTGCTTCTGTTGCTTGGGGGAAGATGTGCGTTGCTTTTTCGGAGCTCTGCAGTCGCAGGCAAGACCCATTCTGCGCGTCAAGCTTGTAGCTTGTTTGGCAGGGCTTGAGCTCCTGGGGGAGCAACCTAATTGGCCCTGCCCTTGGCCATTGGAGAGCCAGTCCAAATTGGGGGTTAGCTGCAGAACAGTGCGGAGCCATCACCTGAAGCCGAAGTCTCAAGAGAGCTCTGAACCCTAAACCCTAAACCCTAAACCCTAAACCCTAAACCCTAGACCCTAAACCCTAAACCCTAAACCCTAAACCCTAAACCCTAAACCCTAAACCCTAAACCCTAAACCCTAAACCCTAAACCCTAAACCCTGAACAACACACAGCTCCAAAGGTCAGGCCTCAGAGCAGCTCAAGGAGGCCAGGGGTCGGCGTAGTACTTGGCGGAAGAGTTTGGGAGGTTTTAGGTTTCAGGGTTTAGGGTTTTAGGGTTTAGGGTTTAGGGTTTAGGGTTTAGGGTTTAGGGTTTAGGGTTTAGGGTTTAGGGTTTAGGGGGGGGGGGGGGGGGGGGGGTGGGGGTTCGGTACATTTCGGTACTAGCATTTTGTTTTAAAGTGGTTCCGAGCAGCAGGGTATTTTGGGGTACATCAGGGGGGGAGGGGTGCCTGTTTGAGTGGTTCGGAGCATAAGGACGATAGTATTGGATGATAGTATTTTGGGGTACACAAGGTATGGTAGGAAATGCCTGTCGTGCTGGGGTGACTTGTGCTCTCTAAGATGTGTGAGCACGCGTCAGAGATGTGTGAGTGTTCCGTAAATCTTAAACTTTTGAAGCCATGCAAGCACCCGGCGTGGCCTGCGGGAGGTTTCCGATCAATTGGCCCCCTCTGCGGCAGCTGCGCGGGCACCTGGCAAGGGATCGAACGCAAAAGACCCACAAAACCCTGAACCCTATCAATTCCTTAGAAGCCGTTCAAGCCGTGGGAACCTACACCAAGGCCGCGGCACACATCCGTTCCGGTGTCAAAGAAGTTCGGAGGTCCGTGAAGGATGGGGATCTGGCAACACTCCAATCTGTGAAGTTTCATCGTTTCATGGGGTTCTGAGGGAAGCAGTGAGCAGAACGTACCTGTTGTCCCAGGGCTGCTCTTGTTTGCTAGGTGTTTGCCGCTTTGCCTCTTTCCCTACCCGTCCAGGAGAATTTCGGAACAGCCGGAGGGGGAGTGGCAAGCAGTTTTGTGGGCCAGAGTCACGTGCCTTGGCCAGTTCAGGCGGTTAGATTGTGTCTGAAACTCAATCAATTGCTGCATCTTTGGGCCTTTGGGTCCAATGTCTTGCGAACCGCTGCTTGACACGTTGTCAACATGAGCATGTCATGCAGAATCATGTTTCCATGCAACTGACATGGAAGGTACTGAAGGGTGCGCGCGGCTCCCCCCCCAGGGATGTGACCGAGGCTGGATTTGGTTTCAGGGTTTAGGGTTTAGGGTTCAGGGGATAAGGTTTAGGGTTTAAGGTTAGGGGTCAATGCTGCGGTCTTTCGCCAGAGCAGAAGCATGGAGTTCCCAGCCTCGTTAGCCCAGAACTGCGCAGGTGGCGCACATTGCCGAAGGTGCCTTCGGCGCCGTCATGAAGGTCACCTGCTCCAGGACGCTGGACGTGGGGGTTAACGAAAATAGGGGGCCCCAACGGAGATCCCCAACTAGTAGGATTCCTTTACAATAAGGACCCCAATAAGGTACCCCCCCGATTTCGGAAACCCCTTATCCGCGCCTCATTGAAGGACTGGCGAGCGGTTTGCGCTGAAGAAAATCAGTTGCGCCGAGGGTGTCCAGGTTGGGGCTTCCTTGCGATGACAGCAGCTGTGGTACTGTGGTAGCTGTAGTGCTGTGCAGCGAAATAATGCCCGATTGGGATGATCCGTGTCCCTAAGCCACAATTCAGGTCGCCAGCAGCTTCGAAGCCGCGGAGCGCGAGGCGAAGGTATTTCCCGCCCGTTGAAAGTGCTTCCCGAAGGTCTTCGACGGTTGCTGGTCGCTGCGACTATAGATCAACTGTTTTGTTGGTGTTTTGAGAAGTTATGGCAAAAACTCAGAGTTCAAAAGCCATGGAGAGGTACATGCACAAGTTGATATGTATGCATGCGTTATATTGCTTCGTTCATGTTCTGTATATACATACTTATATGTCTGCCTGTCTGTCTGCCTGCCTGCCTGCCTGTCTGTCTGTATGTATGTACGTATGTATGTATGTGTGTATGTGTGTTGCTTCGTTAGCAATTAATGTGATATGTACATGTACGTGTAAGTAAACATACATATATGTATATAAGCAAGCATGCTTATGAACAAATGCATAAATGAAAATATAACATATAAATATCAGTATAGATATAGATATAAATCAATATAAATATAAACATAATTATAACTCTACATCTAAATCTAAATCCAAATCTAATTCTAAATCTAGATCTAAATGCAAAAACACATGCAAAAAATGTATATATATATATATAGGTATCTATATATATATATACATATGTATACATATATATATATATATACGTATACGTATAAATCTGCTGAACTGACTAAGCAAACACAACATAA